TTGTTTTGTCACCACATCATGGCTGGAACATCCTGTGGAACAACATTGCTCACCACGTGGCTGGAAAGTGTAAAAGAGGAAAGAAGAAATCAGAGTCCCACAGGCTCTTGAGGTCACACGCTCAGTGCTCTAAAGAGCTCTCACTAGTGCCCATGTCTTACCACTTTCCTATAGTGCCATGTGAGACTTAGGGAAACATTCCAGGTACAAATCATAATAGAAGCTAATGGTTTACCCCCCACCACCTCTTTACCTTCACTATGTGTCAAGTATTGTTTTGAGCACCTTTCTTACAGTATAAACAAAATCCTCCAAAAAGCTATTTTCAGGATTGGGCTTTTAGAAGGTGGTTAGATCTTGGGGGCTCTAACCCCTATTGATGAGTTCATAGATGGATGTGTTGTTAGGAGGTAGGACCTGGCTGAGGACTTAGCCTGGGAGGATACATTCTTGTCTTTAGCCTCTTTCTGTCTCTCTGGCACTTTCCCTGTCACTCCTTTCCCTGTCTGCTGTGAGATGACCAGCTTTTTTCTCTCTCATGCCCTTCCTTCTGTCATGATGTTTCTGCCTTAGAGCTGATCAGCATGCTCCAAAACCTCTGAAACCGTGAGCTTTCAGGTCCTGGCCTCGATCCCCAATCTCCCAAATGAGTGTACGGCGGAGGCGTAAATAAAATGCGACAAGTGGTATGATTTTAGGGCTCCAGGAGGCTCAAAACCCTTTAGTTGAGATGGAGACTTTGAGGGCTAAGACAAAGATTTCTCTGGACTGCCCACTTTATTTATTAGGTCCAACAACAGCGGGTGGCGGGGAAACAAGAAAGCACAGGCCATGAGCAGGACTTCGGGAGCCACTTCAAAGACATCTCCAAGTAATGAATCAGGTCAATTCAGTAGAACTGTCTTATCATGAAGATATGGTAGGAGTGAGACTGTAGTAGTAATTCCTGCAGCTGCAGTCTCCATCTACTTAATTGGGGCTGGGGCCAAGTGTCCACAGCTGTGGCCTTATCATGTCCTTTGAGGTATCTCTGGCCTCACAGGCCTCAGCCAGGACCAGTGATTCATAGAGGTTCACTTACTATGAATCAGCTCCCATCACCAGGCAAGGGGCTGAAGCCTAGAACAGACTCACAGATAATCTTAGAAAGCCAATTAGTTAATTTTAAATCCTGCTCAGAGCTGCTGGGTAGTGGTCTCCAACAGTGAGCCAAAATAAACTTTTCTTATTTTAGTTATCAAGTATTATTTCATGTATCACATATTTTGTTCCAGTAACAGAAAGTTGACAAATAACAGCTTTATATATAAATCTACACAGCACACGATACTCACATCCCAACTATAACTCTTCTCTTTGCTACTAGCTTGAGAGGGAAGTGGCTGAGCCACTAGGATCCAGGGTAAAGGGTTCTAAGTGCTTCTGCTTCTGGGCTGCTAGATAACAGTTTTCACAGAGGTGGTGCGATAGTGACTGCCAGCTCTTGCCTCCAAGATCAGATTGAGAGGAATTTTCAGTGGGAAACCCACCTTCAGGAACAGGGGAGAGCACCATGAGGAACTGTGGAATAACAGGCTGAGTGAGCTGGAGTGTGTGGATTGATGCTTTGGATCTTGGCCAGAGGGAGCCAACACTGCTGGTGGGGAGACCAGCGAGGAGGGAAACTGCTGCGTCCCCTCGATCCCTACAGCCACCTGTCTCCATTCCTCTGGCAACTCAGCTGTCTGCAGGGGTAAAACCAAGGCAGCGGCTGGTGACCTATAACCTATAAGCCAAGGTCCTCTTAACATTGTTCTTGAGGGGCAGATGGGAAGCTGTGGCCGGAGGAAATATTTTGTGTGGCGAGTGTGGGCTTGTTGTAGATGTACCTGTGAACTGGTTCCAGAACTCTCCATCATGCCTAGGTCATGGTGGGTGGCCGAAACTGAGTCTTTGCCCTTCAGGGTGCCTGGCAATGTAACCAGTGTTTCCAGGAGACAATGATCTCACGGGCCAGGACAACAGGACAGCTGAAGAGCACAGCTATGTCACAAGACAAGCATTTTGCTGGGTTGTTTGATGTAGATTGTGTTATCAGAGGCAGAACTTTTAGCAGAGGACACACTGAGAATTTAAAATTATCTTGATGCAGTAAACAATATTCAAGGAAAATCTTAGCAGGAATGCAACAAAAGAACACATAAAAAAAGAACAAATATTTACACATGAAAATAAAGAAGTTGAAACAAAGAATATGTGAGATCAATAGCAGAGTGAATAAAACTTCAGAACAAACCAGAGAATGAAAGATAAGATGGAGATCTTTGTAGGAAGGAAGAAAGAACAAAGAAATAGAAAAAATATCTGAGATCTTGAGGTTATAAATAGTAGTACCAGCATCTAAATAGTAAGGAACTGGAAAAGGAAAAATAAAAGTAGAAAGGGGGGAAATATTTGAGGAAAGAATGGAGAAATTTTCTCATAATTGGCAAAGTAAGATGAAGTACTTGCAACTGAAAGGGTCTTGTGTTAGCTTTTCTTGCTCTGACCTGAGAAAAGCAATTTGAAAAAGAAAAGTTTTATGGTCACTCATGGTTTCGTGGGTTTTAGTCTGTTGTTGGCTGGTTTCATTGCCTTGGGCAGGAAGCAGCCTGTAAAGAGAGGGAGAAAGGAGGAGAGGGAGAGGAAGAGGAGGAGACGAGGAGATAGTGAAGGAGAAAAAAGGAGAGGAGAGGGAAGAAGAGAGAGAAGACAGGAAACAACCAGTAAGGTAGGTGAGGGACAAAATATATCCTTCAAACCCCAGTGACTGTGTTCGTCTAATTTGGCCCTCCCTCCTAATAAGCTGGTTGGGCTGTGGACTCTTCAATGCATTAACCTATTGATAAGGTTAGGACACTCAGGGTCCAATCGCTTGATAAAAGCCCATTAGCTTGGCACATGGCCTTTGGGGGACATTCCAGCTCTAGACCACAAATCTCTGCTCTGGTTTCCAAAGGCTCATGTTACTAACAGTGGTACTCCCGTTTCTCAACACAAATAACACTCAGTCTGTCTCCCAGAGTGGTTCACAGAATGTCAAAAAGTCCTCACTGGTAGATGCAGTCTGGTGAATGTATATTTTAAGAATTTTAAATATTAAGGCAGGAAAATCACAAATTCTATCCCAACCTGTGTATCTTAGTGAAACTTTATCTCAAATAAAAATAAAAATAAAAAAGGGATTGAGGATGTAGCTCAGTGCAAAGGCCCAATTCAACTCTTCGTACTACAAAAAAGAAAGAAAAAAAAATCAAAGAGAAAATTTCAAAAGCTTGCCAAACCAAAGATAAGATTTCATCTAAGTGAATAAGAAGCAGACTGACATTAGACATTTTCTTTTTTTTTTTTTATCTTTTTATTGGTTCCGGGGATTGAACTCATGACCGCCTGCTTGCAAGGCAGGTGCTTATGCCACTGAGCTAAATCCCCAGTCCCAGACATTAGACATTTTCACAGTAAGTAAAAAAGAATGCAGCGAATACAGCTCAGTGGTAGGATGTTTTGTTTTTACATCCAGTACTGCAAATTGAAAAAAAAAAAGCCTGCTTTAGTCAAATGTACTGGCACAAACCTATAATCCGAGCACTGTGGGAGGCCGAGGCAGGAGGATCATAAGTTGGAGCTCAGGTCTGTCAACTTAGTGACAGTGAAGTTCTCTCAAAATAAAAATTAAAAAGAGAGCTATGGATGTAGGTTAGTGCAGACGATGGTTTCAATCCCAAGTACTGGAAAAAATAGAAACAATGGGATGGAGTTTTGTTTTGTTTTGTTTTGCTTTGGTCTGAGACAGGGTCTTGCTCTGTAATTCAGACTGGTCTCAAATTCATGGCCACCCTCCTGCCTCAGCCTCTGGAGTGCTGGGATTACACCAATGTGCCCAGCCTGGAATTATATTTTGATTGTCTATTGTATCACAAACTAGTTCCAAACTTAGTACCTTAAAATAACCACCATGTTAGCATGTTTCCTAAGGAGCTGGGCCAAGTTCAGCCGACTATCTGACATGGAACTGGTAGAAGTTGCTTTTCGTGTGCAGCTGGTGGGCAGGTGGGCCATGAAGATTCACGATGGCTGTGCTCAACGCCTGGTATTGTGGGAAGACTACAAGGCGGGGCTCAGCTGGAAACATCTGCCAGAGGCCTGCATGTGGCTGCTCTCGTTTCCAGCACGGTGGCCTCACAGTGGCTGAACTCCTTACCTACATCTGGCTTCCCACAGCACTTTTATGACCTAACCTGGTAGTTCCAAGACTTAACACTGGTTTTCTTGGTCAGACAAGTCACCAATGCCAGCCCATAATTTAAGGAAATGAGATTTAGACTGTACCTCTTGCTGGGAGGCATAGTAAAGCATTTGTGGTAATCTAGCACAAATGCTTTTAAGGATTAAAGAGAAAAAATTTAAAACCCAGGGTGTTGTAACTGATCAAACTATCATTCAGACATGAAACTGGAAAGAGCATTCTGAGGCGTAGATCATACACTTGCGGATACTTTGCCACAGAAAGACTACACTGGAAATGGTTTGGGATGAAGTATTTAAACAAGAGCAGAAAACAATTCCAGCAAATGCAACAAGAGATAGTGAAGTAGAGATAGCCAATTTCCCAATGCAGTCTGACCTAGAAGAATCAATTGGCCTGGAGCTCAGGGACGGAGCACGTACTAGAGGTGTGTGAGGCCCTGAATAAAGCCGTGAGACCAGGGTACTCGGGAGTGTGAGGATTTTCTCTCATGAGATCAGTGTGGGGGGATGCATAATATCAATTTAGAAATGAATAAAAAATAAATGGGACAAATGGAAGGATTTAATGACCTGCCCAGGGTCACAGCCACTATGATACCGGAACCCCGTGTGAGCCAAGCTTTGCCACAGGGTAAAAATACCTGTGCTGTAAAACACCAGCGAAGAAGTCTCCGGGTGTGTCAGCGGCCACTCAAGTCTCTCCTTTCCATCTTGGGTCATCTCTTTTGTTCCAGGCTGTGAATGGATGGAGGGAACTGCTACCCCTCTGTTTGAGGCCAGAGCTGTGAGTCCCCTGGTCACCTGGCAGGATGGCCGGTGCAGCAGCGAGTTCCTGGCTTCTCTGCCCCAGCCATCCTCTCATCTCAGTGTGGCCACTGGGTTTGGCTGTGCCACCATCTTCTGGCTTCTGAAAAATAGGTAGGACAAGTCCTGTTTGTACGTGCACTGGGTTTCTAGGGGAAGAGGGAGTGGGGGCCGCCGGTCCTGTCGCACGGTGCCTTAGTGAGTGTGTCCTGACCCAGGGTACAACCCAAGACCTAGATTTGGGGCAGAACAACTCCATTTTTCAGGTGTCTTAGTTATCCTGTTCTGACTCAGTGGGGCGAGAACGGGGGAGGGGGGGGCGCAAGTGGCTGGCCAAGGGTCCTACGGTGAGTCAGGACTGGGCTTCACTGAGGACCTGTGTACCCATGTCCTGCCTTCCCAGCATAGTGCTGCCTTCCTAGAGTTCCTTTCCCTAGGGCAGACTCGAGGTGGCTTTGCTGGGAGTTGGATGGGCCCACCTAGAGGTTCAGCTGTATTTGAGCCACACCATGTGGCTGGGCCCCACCCTCTAGTCCCCTCTACCCACAGCTAGGAGCAGCACCGTTTTCCACATCTGTGTAACACCTTGTCGAATTGTTTTTGATGTTTAAACAAAAACCAGCCCCGAGCTCCTGCAGTCCTACAACGCAGCTGGCACCATCCAAGACTACGTGGTTGCCATGCTGTGTGGCTTGCGGAGACCCCTGATGTCTGACCAGAATGCCGCTAGCTGGGGATATTTCAACACCCAGAGCCAGAGCTGGAACATGGATATGTGAGTATGACCTTTCAGGTGGTTCCTGGCAAAGGCCACCTCCCAGGGAGAGGTTCTCCGCTACCTGTGAATTTCAGTACTTAATGTATTTTGAACAGATTAAGAATGGGAAGCAGTAGGCTGGAGGGCTGCCTTTTAAGCTCTTTTTAAACAGTTGTTTGCCTTTTCAGGTACAGAAGTCTGGTGGCCTTTTAATCCATTTCCATCAGGGCCCAAATTCTGAGGTCTTCAACAAAGCCAAAAAACCAAAAACCAAACCAAATCAAAACAAACAAAACAAAAACCCAAAAACAGACAAAAAAACACTTGATAGTTCAGGTAAAGGACTCTATCGCATGCTTTATACAGTTGGAAGCTCTGTATTCACTAACCTTGAGTGATGGATGTGTTCGATATTCAGAGGCTGGCTGGTTTGACTTTGGTCTGGATTGTGCTAACCAACTCTGACTTCACACCAAGTCCCTGGCTGCCTCCTGGTGTTACTGGGGGCGGGGATACTGGAACATTCCTAATATCTGGTTCTTACCTAAGCGTGTTTGATGGCTGCTGTTTAAACTGGTGATTTTCTTCCCTGGAAGATAAATCCCAAGCTTTTGGTTTAACACAAGCCCAAGAGGCTGCCTGTGACAACCCTAGTTTCTGTCCTGTCTTTTCTTATGTGTGACTCATAGTACCTTCCCTTCCCAGGTTTTCTGGAAATGACAAAAAACAGAAAACTGAACACCAGCTACACAGAGGTGTCCATTTTTGTTTTGCAGACTGAGGAGCTCGGGCTTTCCTGTCCATCTGCTCCCTGACATTGCCCAGCCTGGCAGTGTGGCGGGCAGAACGTCCCACACGTGGTTTGAAATCCCAAAGGGGACACGGGTAGGCGTGGCCATGGGTGATTTACAGGCCTCTGTCTATTCTTGCATGGACCAAAAGACAGATGCAGGTAAGTTTTGCTTTTGTTCCCTCCTTTGTCTTAACACTAGTGCTTCCTAGGCCCTGGCTCTGAGTGAGAGTCTGAGGGGCACCTAACTTAGCCAGCTTAGTGTACTGAGTGAGCTCACTGCACTGTAAAGATGACAGCTACCTTCCTTCTTGCAGGTGAACCCCTCTGCTCGGGGAACGTACCTGCCAGCTGGCCAGTTAGGTCTTATACACTGACCATCTGTGCATGACTGCTGTGTGGTCTAACTGCTGTGCACTCCATAATCAAGAAAACAGATGAGCAGGCTGGGCTGAAAGTCATTGGCCCTGCATTTGATCTTAACACCACACACACACACACACACACACACACACACACACACACACACAGGGTTATTGTGTGTTAGTGAAAGTTATGTCAGATCAGATTAGAAGTGCAGAATCTTCTGTATCTTGGGTAAGAGAATCATAGTAAGGTAGAGGGTACCAGTCTAGGGCAGAAGTTGTTAAACTTTTTCCATAAAGGTCCAGCTATTTTCCCGTATGTGGACCATGTGATCTCTTCAGTTGTGGTTAGAGTTTAGTATACAAGTGAATGGCCATAGCTGTGTTCCAAAAAGTTATTCCTCGGCAGAGATGCAATTTCATATTATATTAATGTGTTATGAAATTTTCTTCTCTATCCATTTGATTTCTTCTCAAGCATTTAAAACATGAGGCCATGCTAGGGAGACTGTAAAATGGACACAGCCTGGCAGCCCCTCACGAGGTGAACATGGAGTTGCCACAGAACCAGCAATATCCTCCCACAATCATGGCAGCACATTCATAGCAGGCCCTCAGTAGAGACACCCCAAGTGTCCTTCACCCGATAAGTGGATTCTTTAAAACCGTGTTATATCCCTGCATCCAGAAAGGAACTAAATACTGAGGAACATGACAAAATAGTGTAAGCAACAGTGCAGGAATAAAAGAAACCAGACACAAAGCCGTGTATGAAGTGGCTCCATCCTGTGGAGTGTCTAGTGCAGGCAACTTCATGGGGACAGGAAGAAGACAGGTGACAGCCAGAGGCTGAGAGCAGTGACTGCTGAAAAGTGCAGTGTTACTTTTTGGCGCCCTAAAAATGCTTTAAACCGAGATAGTAAGGATAGGTGTTCTGAGGAGATGGTGGAAAAACTAATTCATTTCTCCTCGCAACACAGATGGCGTTTGCTCTCAGATGTGTGCAGATTTCCCCCACTCCCCAACATACTTGCCAAGTGGACCCCAATTTCAACTCTGCCCCTGTCTACCTGGCCACAGCATCAGATTCCACAAGCTGAAGGCTCCATCCTGACTGTTCCCCCACCCACTTCAGCTGCCCGGGTGGTTCTACCTGTGCTCGTGATCAGCCAGCTCATCGCTCTTGGGTTCCCACAAACCCCTTTTTGGGTTCAGTTAATTTGCTTGAGCAGCTCACAAGAGCTGAGAGCTCTCTAAAGATACACACTTACTGGTTTACTAGAGAGGATGTCACACAGGTGAAGAGGTGGAGAGAGGGGCAGGGGAGGCAGGGGAGAAGGGCTGTGGAGCTTCCGCGCCCTCTCCTGGCTCACCCTCCACCCTGGAGCCTGCACATGCTCAGCTCCAGGACTTGTGGAGCCCTGTGCTGCTAAGGAGTTTTGTTTTGTTTTGTTTGTTGTTGGTGCTGGGGATGGTATTGTGGGTAGCACATGTGCTAGGCATGCGTGCTACCACACAGCTTCTCTCCCAGCCTCGGTTCTGAGTTTTCAGTGGAGAGTTAGTGTGTATCTAACACTCATAGACTGGATGAAGAAATCCAGCAAGGCTTGTCTGTTCAGATTCTTCTTGGCCTGTGGGGAATGTTTCTTCCTTCCAGGTCTGGGATAGGACTCCTTCTGAAACTGGGGTTTTTATGAGTATACATCTAGGTAGAGTCGGAGAGAGAAATGTGGAGAAGGTTAGAGCTTCTGTGATTTATCTTGAATAAGAGAAATTCTAGTTTTTATGATATGCCTTATGGAGGGAGTTATAAGTAAGGTACAGTGGACAAAACTCATAAAAGTATTTATTATATCAGTTGTATGAATGCAAATATATTAAAGATCACTGGATTTCACATTTTAAAAGAGTAACTTTACTCTGGATTATATGATTTACATCTCAACAAACGTATTTATTTATTTATTTGAGACAGAGTCTCACTATATAAGTCAGGCTAGCCTTGAATTCACTGTGAAACCCAGTCTGGCCTTGAACTCATGGCAGTCCTCCTGCCTCAGCCTCCTGAGTGCTGGAGTTACAGGTGTGCATCACCATGGTTGGTGATTTAAACAATGGAAAAGCCATTTTCAACTCAAAAACAGATGGTGGGCTGGCGATGGCTTGTGGAAGGTGGGCTGTAGTTTGCTCATTCTTCATCTAAGGTGGCATCTGAGTTTGCCCCAGTGGGCTGGTTGACAGTGGAACCACTGTCACACAGGTGAGCGTGTGTGTTTTGTTTGATGCTCAGGAAAGCCTGGCTGAGCAGGTCACCTTTAGGAGTTTCTCCTTGTGTCTTACTTTTTTATTTTTGCTGAGGCAAAATATCTGACACTCAAAGCTAAAGGGGAAAGGTTTATTTAGCTCATAGTTTGTAGAAGTTTCAGTCCATAATCAGTTGGTTGCAAGGCAGGGTGGCATAGCAGACAGACATTGTGAAGGAGAAACAGTTTGTGGCAGTTAGAAGCAACAAGGGATGACCAGGACTCTTTCTTTTTTTAATAATTAAATTTATTGGTATAATTTAGATATACATAGTAATCATGTTCACCATAGGGAAGTGTACCCGGACAATGATGTCTTAGTTCGTCTTTTTTCCCATTCCCATTCTCTCTTTTCGCCCCATCTTCCCCTCCTTATTAACAAAGCTTTGTTTCCATTTCATTTTTTTTTTCTCATTTTTCTTTTCCTTTCCACTGTTCCCCCCATCTCCATTTCCCTTTGAACAATGACTTCTTATTTCAGGATATTGATTATACATTTTGGTTCTTATTTAGACTTTCAGTTTCTTACACCAGAAAGACAACGCAGTATTTACATATATGTGTCAGATTTATTTCACTTAAGAGTATCGTCTAAGGCCCACCCATTTTACTTACAAGCGTCTCAAGCTTATCTTTATTTATGGCTGAGTAGGACTCCATTGCATAAAAAGTCTTTACCTTCTGTATCCATTCATCAGTTGATGGACATTTGGGCTATGTCCAAGACTTGGCTATTACAAACTGTGCTACTATACACATGCATGTGGAACATTACTGTGGTATGATGCTTTTAATTCTTTCAAGTAGATACCAAGAAGGGGAATTGCCAGGTCAATGGGACCTCTAGTCCTGGGTTTTTTTTTACACTAATTTCCATAGTGGTTTTACCAGTTTACACTTCTACCAACAGTGGAGAGGTGTTTCCTTTTTCCCACAGTCCTGCCAACATTTCTTATTGGTTGATATTTTGATAATAACCATTCTTTATGGAGTGAAATGGAATCTCAGCATTTTTTTTTTTTCTTTTTCTTTTTGAGACAGGGTCTCTATGCAGTTCAGGCTGGCCTTGAGCTCACTTTGTAGCCTACGCTGGTCTCGAACTCAGAACGATCCTCCTGGCTCAGCCTCCCAAGTGCTGGGATTACAGGCGTGAGCCACCATGCCCGGCATCCTCAGCATTTTTTGTTTGTTTGTAACGTTTTGGTTTTGGAAATCAAACTCAGGATCTTGCACTTGCTGGGCAGGTGCTCATGCCACTGAACTATATCTCTGACATCTCAGTGTTGTTTTAATTTGCCTCTTTCAAATGATCAGTGATGTTGAACATTTCTTATGTACTTATTTGCCATTTGTACTTCTTCTAAGAAGCATCTATTTATTTCAGATGCCCATTTTTAGATTGGATCTTTAAATTTGGAGGGTCTTCTTTTTAAATTTTTTATATATTCTAGATATTAGTCCTTTGTCTGAAGAACAACTGGCTAAAATTTTTCCCACTTTGTGGGTTGTCTCTTTACTTTGCTGGTGATTTCTTTTGCTGTGCAAAAGCTTTTTAGTAAGACGAGATCCCGTTTCTTGATTCTTTGTATTTTATATGTGATCAGTGTTTTGTTCATAAAGTCTTTGCCCTCACCTATGTTAAAGCCCTATGTATGACTGCACGAGTCTTTGGGGTGACATCTAGACACAAGCCATAACACCTTGTTATCAAGGGGAAGAGAGGACTCATTCATCTCACCCACGGTTTTTTCTTGGTCATAGTGTCTTTTTTTTTCCTCTGTCTTCATCATCAGAAATACTATAAGGCAACTTTGAGTTTAAAAATTCTGGCTAGCATTATCTTCTGTGTAGCAATTTATTCTCTCCTTTTGCTGCAGTCTTAAAAAATAAAATGCTGAACGACTCTCTGGGTTTTGTTTTGCTTTTGATAGTAATTTGCCTTTGTAAGCAAACTTTACTCTTTTGTTATTGACTGTACTGAGATAACAAAGATGCAGACATCTCAAGGAGCGGTGTGTGAAAAAGCAGGAGATGAGCTGACAGGGAAAGATGACATTCTGCCAGTTTTGTTGCTCATACATGTGATACTTTTTTTTTTGTACCGGGGCTCAAACTCACGACTGTGTGCTTGCAAGGCAGGTGCTTATGCTGCTGAGCTAAATCTTCAGCCCCCATGTGACACTTTTTCTGATGAAAAAGGTTCAGCATAACCTTTTTTCCTCTCGAATTTTCAACTAAAATCAATGCCCCAAGAAACCATTCTAAGTGTATTTTGTGACTTTCTACTAGTATGTCATTTTTCAGAGCCTAACATCTTTTCCTCAAAGCAAGGAAGTTCACGAAACTAGTGGGCCTCAGAGTCCAGCCTGTGGCATTGGGATTTCACCTTTCTGCCTCTTCTGTGTGACCGTGGGCAGGCTGAGTTTCTTCTCTGTGCCTGTATCAATGTCCCAAATGTGGATGAGATCATTGCGTTGCTGGGGGGGGGGGCAGTGGTAGCCATTGCAGTGGTGCCTGGAAAGGGCCTGGCTCTCTCTTCCTACCTGCCTGTTCCCCCTTTGGAGGGTAGTCACTCTGCTGGATGGCAGGATGCTCTCTATGTTGGTGGCTAGTGCAATGTAAGAAAGTGACATTATGCCAATCTTAAGTCTGTTTTCTGTTGCTGTAAATGAATCTCACAGACTGGGTTATTTATAAAGGTTTATTCAGCTCATGGTTCTGCAGGTTAGGAAGTTCAAGACTGAGGGGCCACATCTAGTGAGGACCTTCCCGTTGGGTCACATCATGGTACCACCTGTGCAGACAAGCAGCCAGACCAAGTGATCTCACTTTTATAACAAAAGCACCTCCCTCCAGGACCCTGGGTTAATCTGGAAGGCAGAGCTTTTACGACTGAGTTACCTCAGAAAGCTTCTTCCTGCCGACATGGGTTTTTTTGGGAACATGCAAACTGTTACAGGCCCCCTCTTCACTGAAGACTCTGGCTGCAGTCTGGAGCTGCCCGCCTATGCTCAGCAGTGAAATGTCCATGAACAGTGCTGGCTGCCCTCTCTCTGACCCTGTTCCTGCAGGGGCAGGTGGAAGGCCTGGCTTACAGTCATGGCAGGAGATTTGATGTGGAAGAGAGTAACAGTTACTGGTTTTCTGGGACTCCTTTTTACTCATTGCTTCTCACACTATGGTAGGGAGAAAACTGATGCCATCCTTGGTTGGTTTGATCCCTGAACATACAGTTCCCAAAGTCACACATCATCACTTCCACTCTGTTTTGTGTGTTAGAAGCTTGTCACTTGGTTAAGCCTTCATTCAGGAGAAGGGAAATCACACCCAACCTCTTGAGAGGAGGAGTTTGTGGACGTATTTTTTAAAACCACTGCCCTGTTGTGATTTTGACCACTGAGTTTGCTCAGTAGGCCTCACCTCTGCTCTCTTTGGACCCCAGTTCTCAACATCAGCACCTCAGTTCAGCTGGCAGCCTCTATGCCCTCGGGATTCCAGCCTGCGCAGACTCCGGACCCTGCGGCCCCTGTCGCCTACTTCCCCTACTTTGACAGGACCTACCTGGGGGTGGCAGCATCGCTCAATGGGGGCAATGTGCTGGGCACATTTGTCCACATGCTGGTTCAGTGGATGGAAGATCTAGGTAAGACGCGGACCACACGGTGCTATGTCTTCTGCTTGTCTTTCCCCTTCTGTATGCTGCTGTCTTGGAGCTTCATGTGCTATTTCTGTGTTCAAGTTCAGGTCTCAGATCGGGCTGGGTCTCAGCATATTCCTTATTGCCTTTGGAGTCTGAGCTTGTGGCTTCCTTTCCTGCCTATCCTCTTCTCTGTGGCAGGTGGCTGGTGGCAGGTGGCAGGTAGCAGGCGGCAGGTCACCTTCCCCTTGTCTGGACTGTGCAATATTCCTTGGGTTCTGTTGACTCCCATGGTCTTACTTTCTCTGCCAGAAAGTCCCTGTGACCCTTGCATTTAGAGTTTTCTTCTGATGACTACAGAGAGCTAAAATAGAATGATCAAACAAGCATCCATGAAAGACTCCTGGTATTTCATAACACTGTAAAACCCTCACAGCACTTAATCTCGGAAAGTAATTCTTTTCTCACTATCTTGGATGTGTCCCTGGAAGTCTTCCTGACCCCTTTATTCATCAAGTCTTCCTCTGCTTTGCATGTATGGCAGCATATGTAACCCCTTCTCCTAGGAAAGATCTGCTTTGCAAGCACTGAGGGTGGAAATGACTTTCCAGGTCTAGGGAAACCATAGCTATCACATGCAGTGGTCAGCTAAAGGGACTCAAAGTCAGGTAACTGCAGGAAATGTCCAACCCTTGAAAAGGACGAGGCACAGACAGCAGAGTTAAGAGGGAGACTCCTCCTAGTTGTGTAGACCAGTGCTTTCAGGCTGTGCAGGAGGTCTGGGTCCCCAGGGCAGTTCTGTGGGGTCCTATCGGGATTCTCTGTTGAAAGAACCCGAAGGTTTTCTAGTTGCAGAAGCATTCATCCAAACCTCCAGACAAACCCTGTAAATAGATACTGATGTAACTGGAGGCTATCTGTGCTGTCAGCAGGCAACTGTTTCTCGTACCCTTGAAAGAGCTGGTCATGCTTAGTTTATTTCTTGGTGAGATGCTTTTGCAAATGTACATGGTTTGTGTCTTGATGAGATAAGAAGTGCCTTGAATAATAGTATTTTTATATCATTTAACCTTTTATGAAATATCTCAGTATTATTACTTAGCTTTCCTATTCCTGGGACAAAATATCTGACAGCCAAAGCTTAAAAAAGAAGTTTAACTTGGGCTTGTAGTTTTAAAAGTTTTAGCGGGCTGGCTTCAGGGCAGAAGCATCACGGAGGATGGGCCTGGCAGGTGGCTTAGTCACTGCTGAGACACGATGCCTGGCACACACAGCCTAGCAGAGGGGAGGCTCACAGCATGCAGAGGTTTCAATTCACAGTCTCAACTGCTTCCAGGGAGGGTAGCATGCCAGAGAGGCATGGCAGAGGAGAAGGAGCTCGTGTTGTACAACAGGAAGCAAAGAGAGATCAAGGGAGGAAGGTGAGAGGCCCCTTCCAGGCGATGCCACAGTGACCCACCTCCTCTGACCAGGCTTCACCTCCCAGCATCGCATCTAGCTGGAAACTAATCAGTGGACTAATCCACTGGTGAGTGTCACAACCCCATGATCCCGTCACTCCCGAAAAGCCCCACCCATGAGTGTGTGTAGCTTTGAGGGGACATCTAGATATAAACCAAAGCAGCAAAGGAAAGCTACTTACCTCAGGGTGGCTGGAAGCAGAGAGCATAGGAAGAGAGCCAGAGAAAGACTGAGCATGAGAGAGATGGAGAGAGCAAGAGAGAAATCAAGACAGGATAAGAAGAGAGAGGAAGGAGCTAGGATAAGTGCACACCTTTAAGGTCCTGAGTCCCCTTCTCCATCTGGTCCTCAATTAGTAATAGCACATTAACTTACAAACTCATCAACAGAGTAAGCCACTGCTGAGTGTATCACCCCCACCTCTGAACACATGATGCTTGGGGGATGTATTATATCCAAACCATAGCAGTCTAAAATTATGTCACTTTACTTTTATAAAATTTCTACAGTTATGGACGTACTCCCCAACACCTAGGTCACAACCTAAGAGATACTTTCTTCCCTGGTGAGCAAGATGAGTTTGTGTACATTTTCATGTTTCCTTAATTTTTTGAATTTTTACTAAAGAAATACAATCACATGACTTTACAAATCTAAACTCTAGACTTCTTTTCGTTTTGCCAGATCTCCCCCTAATGCCTTTTTCTCTGTGCTAGGATCCAATTCTCATTGCATTTGTATCTCCTTAGCCTTCTGCCTTCTATTGGATTGATCCCTCCTTAATGTCTTCTCCTTGTTTCCTCTCCTTAGAGGGTTTAACCTTCTTGTCTGTGCTTTTAGAAATTACTGGTGCACTGATTCCAAGGGTATGGAAGAGTTGTCATTTTCACATGTTTTGTGGTATGTAAATTGGTACATCTCCTAAAGATTTACCCTTGAAAGAGGTAATAACATTTCATTTACTTTTCTGTAAGATCCTTTTACACATTCATGATTGTTATTTGATGAAACAGGAAGTGCTATGAGGGCTAATTTTTTATGTAACTTGATCTTTAATGAAATTTCTGAAAAAAAATAACAAAGGAAATTTCTGCCATTGTGTATGTGCATGTATTTTGATCTAGAAGTTCCTGTCCAAGGACTGAGTCTAGAGATATATACACTAATACACACCTGGTAGGCTATTTACCAAGAACAATTTTTAAATTTTTTTTTATCAGTACTGGGGATCAAACTCACGACCGTGTCCTTGCAAGGCAGGCATGTATGCCACTGAGCTAAATCCCCAGCCCTTAATTTTTATTTTTTATCTTTGTAGTGCGAGGATCAAATCTAGGGCCTTGCAATATACCAACCTAGCAGTATAATTTTTACAAGCCCAATAATGCCAGACAATTTTGTTGTTGTTACTGTTTGTTTTTGAGACGAGTGTCTTACTAGGTAGCTCAGGCTGGCCTCAAACTCATGATAATCCTCCAACTCAGTCTCCTAAGTGCTGGTATTATAGGTGCCTACCACCACACCAGCCTCTCTATGTGCTTTTTAGAAACTTCAGTCTTTGTTTTAGTTTGGGGATCAGATTTTAACTGGGCCGCTGTGTGGCAGCCAGAAAATTGTCTCTGATCAGTTTTAGGGGATTGGGTTGGTATGGCCCCAAGACATCACAAGAGAGGTTGAGGAACACTTGGTTCTGTGTTCCCAGAGTGAGTAAGGGCAGTAGAGGGTTCAGAGGGTCTTGAGCCTGTGCCAGTGCCTCAATTTTGTACCCTTGCAAATGTAGAAATGAAGAAATATTTGGCACGAAAATAGGCATAACTGGGGTACGCTAGCCAGCCAGGAGGCCAAGGGCTCACTGCTATGGTTTTGGCCCTGCTATGATTCTGCCTCCTGAAGTATCTTGGACCTCCCAGGTTCCAGTCCCTATGGAAGAGAAATTGGCTTCCCTTCAGCACTTTCCTTTGCAGACTTCCAGGCAGTGGCTCTCTGGCTCTGTTCAGAAAGTCAGTTTTCACTCTGTATCTGCTTGTCTTTCAAATATGGGCTGAAATGCTTCAGGTCTTGCCATTTCCTCTCCTGTGTTCTCTGTCCTTGGTTTTTCTTTCTTAAGAAAGAAATTTGGGACTGGTGTAGCTGTGGTAGAACATCTGGTAAACACGCTTCAGGGCCTGTGTTCCATCCCTGAAACTGCGAAGGAAAAAAAGGAGTGATTGGGCCAGGGGTTTAGCTTAGCCGCACAAGTGCCTGTGTGGCAAGTGTGAGGTCACGAGTTCGATCCCTGGTACACCCCCCCCCCCCCAAAAAAAAAAAAAAAACCATAAAAAGTGATATTTCAATGAAATTCTTAGAGAAGGAGGAAAGATATTTATCATATTCATCCTGCTGTCTTTAACCATGAGTCATGCTGATCAGATTTTACTAGTTACCTATGATATTGTCGTTACTTTTTTCTCTCCCATTTCCAAATATGTGCAGTAGATTGGTATAAGCTAAATGTTTTGATGGTGTGACTGCACTGTAACTTTATAGGTTAGTGATCCTCAGCATCAGATGTACACTGAAATTAATTATGAAGTCTTAAGACAATATTGATATCCTGGTCCCAGGTACAGACATGCTGACTTGTTTAGCGTGGGGCTAGGGTAATGCAGAGCCTGGCAGTTATAACACTCCTCAGGTGATTCTGATGCCTGGCAACCAGCATCACTCTAGGTGGAGCCAGCAATCCCTGGATCCTTTAACAAATGCAGGGCCTCAGAGTCTGCCCTAGGAACAGAGTCAGAAACAGAGTTCTAACAAGATTCTGTAAGGAATTCGTTCATAATTCATGTTTGAGAAGTACCTACAGGTCTAGGCTGGTGGCTGTCCAGCCTGGCTCCATTTCAAAATCACCTGGGAAGTGTTTAAAGTTCTAGCACTCAGGCTGCAGCCCAGACTGGTTCCATCAGGGTGTCTGGGGATGGTAGCCAGCACTTCGGTAGTCATTCAGGTGATCACAGTGCATCACAGTGGTAGACAGCTCCCGGCTGGGACTGTTTTCTTCCTATCAAAGCCAGGTATGCACTCTCTCAGTTAAAGCCAAGCTAGAGATTGAAAGTGGTATATTTTCATATTATCTTCCTTCTCCTGCTTTTTCTTCTTCTTCATCTTCCATGTGCTCTATCACTGAGCTATACTCCAGGCCCAAAAGTGAGTGTAAGATCAAAGGGTGCTGAAATCAAAGATGTATATTCTCCTCTTCCTCTTCCTCCTCCTTCTCCTCATCCAGAATGTAGAGCTAATATAGTGTGGGGGAGAAAAATCTGACCAGGACTGGCTTGACAACAACCAGCTGCTGGATGGTCAACAGATAGCTCACTTCTCCTTGAGCACAAGTTGCCCCCTGAATGTAACTAGGTAGCTTAGACTGTGATGGGACCTGGGTTCCTGGGATTGCTGGTGACATTGCTAATGGCTTGAATAGCAGCTTTCACGATCCTAGTGCATGTAGCCTGTACCCCCTTGGGAGTAAGCACCCCATCACTGTAACATGGTTATGATCCCCAGATTAGGGTTGGGTCTCACATTGACACTGATGAGAGAGTTCCCTGAAATCTGTCTGGAGCTGTCTGGGGTGGGAGCAGGGTCTGGCTAGTCAGTAGGTATGAGCCTGAAAGTCTCTAGCCACAGTGAGGAGCAATAAGCAGCTCTCTCCTTGCCCCTTGGGAATCTGTGTAGTCTCAGCCCACGACCAGGGGCCACCCGAGCTCACAGAGGTCTTTCTTGTTCTTGGCAGGCCTGAAAGTTGAAGAAACCACTGTGTATTCACAGATGATCCAGGCAGCTGTGCAGCAGAGAGACACCTGCCTAACAATCACCCCAACAGTGCTGGGGGAGAGGCACCTGCCAGACCAGCTGGCCTCAGTGACCCGCATCTCCTCCTCCGACCTCTCCCTGGGACACGTGACTCGGGCCCTGTGCAGGGGCATTGTTCAGAACTTGCTCTCCATGCTTCCATGTGAGCAGCTCAGAGAGTGGGGAGTGGAGCGCGTGAGGGGAAGCGGGAGTGCGCTGTCCAGGAATGAGGTGCTGAAGCAGGAGGTGCAAAGGGCCTTTCCCTTGCCTGTGTCCTTTGGGCAAGATGTGGATGCGGCTGTCGGGGCAGCTCTCATCATGCTCAGGAGGAGCCTTGACCCGATGGACTCCTAATCCACCAAGTGTCATCCCTTTGTAACTCATTTTGCAGGTCTTGTGATTGCTGAAAGCCCTTCAATGAGCGGTGGGGAACCTTTTGGAGCTCCCCATGATAATGAACAGCCGCTGCAGCACACGTGCCACAGGGTCACCACAGCCACTTTAGATGATGTGCCTGTGGTACTGATTGCATTCAGATATTAAATAAAGCTGGTTCTTTCAGAGCCTTGACCATCTTGTGTTGCAGCCCCTGGGGAAGGCCTGGAAAGGGAAGGGAAGGCTGAGGGACTGAGGTAGCTCTGCCTGTTGGAGCAACCTTCCCTTTGCCCGACAGCAGGCAGCCCATCTTCCTGCTTAGGGTGCTATGCATAGGGTGTGTAAACAGAAGACTAAGAGCCAGATAGGACCACTTCAGACATAGGCAGTACTGGACTGTGACCAGCATGGCCCGGAATGCTCTGACCTCTTTCCAGACCAGGTACCTACTCTACTGCTGAGGGCTGAGCTTCGCAGAGTCCATGGTCATCAATGAAAGATCCCACTGCTAGGACCGAGGTCCCCTGGATGTGACCTAGGTCTTCTGTAGGAGTGGAGGATTATACACAGCTGCCAAGGCCTCATTTTTCCAGCCTGAAGTCATGAACTGCTTACTGATTGTTTTCTCATTTTTTTGGGTGGGAGAGAACATGGTTTGAGACAGGATATCACTGTGCCAATAAATATTTGCAGCCATCAGCTTACTCCTCAGATGATGGACTAGGCAACAGTGATGGCATTTGGGCTGCACGCCCAGTATCCCGGTCTTACCACCACATGGTAGAGATGTACTTTCCCACTCAAATTGGAATGTGAATAGAAGTTATCATTTCTGGGCAGAGGTCTTTAGGAGCCAGCATCCTATTTGTCACAAGTGACTGGTGGTGACTCAGATGGTGTAGGCTCTGCCATCTTGGATTCCTGAGTGAGGGCAGTGTGGCACTGAGCCCTCACCAAACAATGAGGGACACACAGTATAAGTGATAAATAAACTTTTGCTATTTGAAGTCATTGAACTTTGGGGGTATTTGTTACAACAACATACCTAAATTTATTCTGACTGCTACAGTCACAGTAGAGACTGTACAAAGTCTCCTACATCCTAGCACAGACTACATTAGAGATAGTGAAGCATCAAGTGGAAGATGGTGTCCCGTCCAGGATGGTCAGGTATGTTTGAATTCCTATCACTAGCAGCCTAGATAAACACTGTGACTATTACACCCATACCTGGAAAGGGACCAATTCATTCTTCATACAAATGATATCCAACTTAACCAAACAGTTAACATTTTTTGAGTATTTACTGTGACCTGAGAACTGTTATAAACTCTTATTCAAATTCATTTGACCTTTACAAGATTCCTAGAAGGCAAATGTTATTATCACCGCTTCACGGATGGAAAAATTGACTCATCAGAAGTTAAGTAACTTCTAGTGAGATCACAATGCTGGAATGCTTGAACATTCTAGGGACAACAGGCTTAGTGTTTATGTAAAAAAGTATTGGCTTGCTCAGGGTATGACAGACTGTCTGGAGTACTTGGTCACAGAGCATATGAAAATATTTTCAGGTAGTTCCTTTACAAATGGCTTACCAGTCTGAGCATGGTAGCACATGTCTGTCATCCCAGCACTGAGGAGGCTGAGGCAGGAGGATCACCGTGAGTTCAAGGCCAGCCTGGGCTACATAGTGGGTTCAGGGCTGGTTTGAACTACATAGTGAGGCCCTGTCTGAAAAACAAAACAACAACAAAGAGAAATGACTTGCTAAATAAAAGCATTCCAGGTCCTTGTCTCAAAGAATTGGACAAGACAAGCCAGTAACAGTGCCAAATGTTTATTTGAAAATGAAGGGTGAAGGGTAAAGGGAAGAAATAGCTCTACAGAACAAACTTAGGGCAAACAGAGAGAATGGTAAAAGAAAAAAGTGTCTATGAGAAGCAGGGTGGGATACCATAAGGGAGTCATGATAAAAGCGCCTGTGGCCTCTCGTTTCTTATGCTGTCCTCGTTTGATGGGAACTCACTAGTTCTAAACAGAGTTATTTGGCAGGGTCCTGGGATCTTGAAATTGACAGATCCAGCCCACTTATCACTGTCCTGCAGTCTTATAATTTACAGGTCTTGCTTATTTCCCCAGCCCGTTGGCAGGCCCTCCCTCCTGTATCAGAAGGATGTCATAGGAGTTGTGGTCAGAAGTGTTGGCTGGAGAGTGAGGGCTCTGGGGCACCAGGTGAAGAGGTGAGGACCTCTCCTGAAGGCAGTGTGGAGAGCAGGATTTCCTGGGCTAGGAGTATAGCCGGATTGGAGGTGGGGTGCTACAGGAGCTAGGAGCCCTAGAGAAGAGACTAGAAGATGATCTGGAGAGAGACAGGCAGCCTGGCCCTACACAAAGCGGAGGTGTAGCACTTGCCTGTCATCCCAGCACTGAGGAGGCTGAGGCAGGAGGATCACCATGAGTTCAAGGCCAACCTGGGCTACATAGTGGGTTCAAGGCCAGCCTGGGCTACATAGTGGGTTCAAGGCCAGCCTGGGCTACGTAGTGGGTTCAAGGCTGTCCAGCCACTCAGGCTTTCTCTCCTCCCTCTGCTATGGGTCTGCCTTTGACCTTTGACTATATCACCATGTTTCTATGGTTCTGTCATTCTCTTCTTTTCTTCTCAAATGAGCTGAAAACTCCTTGAGGTCAAGCTGCCTCACTAGGTGTTGTCTGCCCTGTCTTCCTGTACTTTAACTTGGGTCCACGTTCAGAACATCATTGTTGTATGACAGATCCTGCACCTGGTTCACATTCCTGCCTGGTTGCTGTCTGCCTGCTGCCCAGGGTCTTGCTAATAGAGTAAAACTGGAAGCCAGCACCCTGTTTAAAGGTCTTTGTTGGCTTGGGGCCCCTGCCTTGCACCGGGAACAGTGTTTCCGGCCCTGCCTGGTGTCAGCAGACTTGTCCAGGTTCTCACCTGTCGTGGGCCCCAAGAGGGTGGAGACCATGCTATTCATCCTACCACACCACCGTGGGACTTTTGAAACACATGGCCAGACCTAAGGGAAGAGGGGCCCACCTGCCTTTTTGTCTCAGCCACAAGTAGATGGCCAAGCTGTCTTTGACAATGAGATAGTCTCATTACAGAAATGCTTGCTTGCCTGACTCATGAAACATTAAGCAAATCTTGTTTTTTTTTCATTAAAAGACAATTAGTCACAACCTCTAGCTAATGGCCGGATACATCTCAGCAGTCAGTAGATGTGGTCTGAGAACAATAATTCCTGCTGTCTGCCTGGGGATGTACAAGCTTCCAGAGTCCACTCTCAGCCAGGGTTCTTATTAACCCCCAGAAGTCTTGCAAAGCACGAAGGGCAAGTGGATAAAGCAGTGGCCCCAGAGGTGTGTCCTCCAGCCTGAGTCCATACCCCCAGCACCTGGCACGGCCAGGCCCCTTCAGTTCGGATCCATCCTCTGCCCTCACCCCTACCCTCCACTTGGCTTCCTCCCATGGCTCCTGGTCCCTGTCCTGTAAAGCGGGGCTGGACTTCTGTAGCTAGTGGATATTGAATCTTGCTGGCTCAGATGACCACTTCCATCTGCTTCTGGAGGATGTGATGCTGCCTTACAGACCCCTGTACTCCTTTAAACTTGGCCTTTTAGACCCACATGGGTGCTCATGACCCACAAGCCACTGGCAGAAGGGAAAACAGTTTCCTTCCAGGTTTGTTCTTTGCCATGTAGATCTGGGAACCCTGTGGCCATTTAAAAGCAAAACAGAAATGTTAAGAAAGTTAAACTTCGACACACAATTTAGTAAGCTCAAGACAAATGAGTAGAGCTGTCACTGTCCTGGGGCAGGTCACAGGCACCTGCTAGGGTGACTACCACTTCCGGGCCTGGGATCATCACCACTCATTCCTACCTGGCTCCTCTCAGAGATTCCGAGCTGATGGTTCTGATTTTGCTAATTAGGCTTTTTCAGCACCTAAGCATTTTCGGGTTTCTAGCTGTGCTGAAGTCTGGTCTCAGATCTGAGAGGAACTTGGATAAAGAAATTTGGCTCTTTTGGCCCCGGTCAAGAGCTCAGTTTAAGTCGACGTGCCCCCTGGTGGTGGCACTAGAAGACGAAACTGCTGCCATTGGCCATGTCAGTGGCTTTGGCATCTGTCCCATTTGATTTGGCCCAACTACCTGTTGGTCCCTTCTCTAGCTACTTTCCTGTGCTGCTGCTTGTCCCATCAGCCCTGGATTAGAGGGGTACCTTCCTCCCACACGTCGTCATTAAATTATGTTTTGCTCCCAAGAGTTTTGATAGGTACATGGTTAGGTAAATCTAGAAGCACCATGTTTCACCTTGTGACCCAGAAAATCAAGGCTATGGATGTGGATCTACAGGATGTGTCCCTGCCACCATACTGTGAACTTTAGGAGATCCACTCAGGACAGGGCCTTGGAGATAAAGCCATTCCAATAAATAATTCCCACCTATTTCTCTGGGCAAGGCCCAGGGCTAGGCTCAGAGAATGACACAGGGCTGAGAACCTTCTCTTGCCCTCGAACCGCTCATAGAACCTGGAAAGCAAGTCACAAAAATCTGAGAAGTGCAATCTCAACTTACGATTAAGAAGCTCAGAGAACAGTACATGTGTCACTGTCCTTGGGTAAGGTGTGGAGCTTGTCTGTTTCCTTTCCATATTTGGATAGTGGAAACAAAATTATTTTCAGCTTATGAATTTTTTTGTGAGTCCCAGTGAGATAGTATGTTTAAAGTACTTAGCTGAACTCAATACATTCTCTGCACTCAATAAATGTTCACAACCGTGGTTGTTGCTGTTGTGATTATAAATGTTGTTTGCCATAGAAGTATACAGACCTAGCTTTCTATGGGAGGAGAGAGGTGAACACTTTATCCCAGGTCCCCTTTGCGGGATGAGGGACTTGAAAGGCAGAATTGCTGGTTGGTAAGATGGATGGTACAGGCAGATTGGGCAGAAGGAGGACAGGGAAGAGTACAGAGGTGGCTGCAATGAGTGTGGCTGGGAAGGGGTGAGTCATGCTGATGGAAGAGGATGGGCCATACTGGGAGAGATGATGGGGCAAGGACTCAGGCTGAGGGCTGGGCACCATGGAGAAGCAACAGGGTATAGAAGAATTATGCTCTAGGACTGTTGAGGGGTGGTTGCTGGACAGAGGAAGGGAGATA